TTTGGGAAAATTCATGGGGGGGGGAATTAAGAAGCGGGGCAATTTTCCCCCCCCCCCCAAGAATTTTCATCTCCCCCAGATGAAAGGCTTAAAACCCTCCCTTGAAGACTCTTCCGACTTAATTTTCCCCTTTTAAGGTTTTTGCGGTGGGGTTAGAAAAAGATTTTGGTCCGCCCCCCCCCCCCCCCGGCCGGCGGAAACCACGGCTCTACGCAGCAGCAGCAGCAGCAGCAGCAGCAGCATTGCCCTGCGCAACCGACCGACCGACCGACCCTTCGTCGCGAGAAACAAGCAGCACGAGGAGGAGAGAAAGAAAGGCCGCTGTCCCCCTCCTGAACGAGGAGAGAAAGACTTTAACACGACTCCTCCTCTTCTCGCTCTCACCTCCTCGCTCTCTCCCGACTGCGCCTCCCCTTCCTCCTTGAGGCGGCCGTCCCCCTGCTCCGCCTCGTCCAGGAAGTCGGGCTTGGGGGCCGTCTTCCCGATGTTGGCAGACTCCACCTGCAGCAGCAGCACCGCCACCACCAACCGACGCCAAACAACGACATCCGACGACGGGAACAACGGCGGCCACGAAGCAGCAAAAATGGAGAGGGGTTGGTCAAGGGTTTCACAACGGTAGCGAACTCCACCTGACTACAAAATGGTAACACTACCGAGGCGAGATGACGAAGACAGCAGCAGCAGCAGCGGTGGCGGCAGTGGGGAGCGGCAGCACAAGGCAAGGTGTGCGTGATTCTACACACGAGCACCGTTTCGGCGCGGAACAACAAGGCGCGAGTCGTCTTGAAAGATGAGCACACCAGTAGTAGAGCACTCTTGTTTCCGAGCGGACTCAAGAAGGATTCATACGCAAGTCTTCGTTGTGTTGTCAACACGTTCCAGTCTGATCGCCTTGGAGGAAGCGACTCGGCGAGGGCACGATGTTCAACTCACCACCTATCAGCGGGGAGTTCGTGAAAGACCCGGGCACGGATGCTTGTTGCCGCAACAGGAGGAGTCTCCTAGCACCCGACCGGAGCTGCTGCCTACCTCCGATTTCACGCGTTGCTTCGACCTCAACACTGACCAAGGTTACACAAGCACAGCTCCAACCCGACGGCCCATAAGGTCCAACCTACCGACTCTTGGCGACCAGACTCCATGCACACGCATCTCCTGCCTGCACAAAAGACCATTAAATCACCCCCCCCGCGCGCAGACGCGAGGTCTACGCCTACGGTATGCACGACTATGAGTACCCCCCCCCCCCCCCCCCCCCCC